GCTCAAATTTACCAAAATTTCAAGGAAAAGAGTCCACAGTTTCGAAAGGTGCGAAGAAACCTGAAATTCAAGAAAGACCAAATTACTTGCTTTCCCGAGGTTACTCTAGTGAGCCCTCAACGCAAGAATCGGAGAATTTACTTCCGACAGCGAGAACTTTACAACAATCCCCACCTAATAATCATTTCGGTGGTGTTTCTGAGCTACGCAAGTCTCGCGGTTCATTTGGGTTCAAAGGTCAAAATTCCTTTATACACAGTCCTCAAATCTCAAAAATTACAGAAGCTCAGAAATCGAGCGAAACTGCCCGACGCTCAAGCAAACAATTCACTACCCCGCAACTAGCCGAGACTGTAATAAATCGTCATTCACGACGCGTTTCATCGGCTTCTTCTATTGGTAGACAATATATTAGGGAAGAATCCGACAAGTGGATCAATTGTGATACGCTCGCTGAAAACGCTGCCGAAGATAGTGCTCTGGAGGATAGTTATCGTGCTTATTTTCAAAGCTCAAGGTCCGAGAACTTTTCTCAAGATCCCACTTTAACAGACGACCTTCAAGTTGCTGCTAACCTCGAGCGGGCACAAGCACGCAGAGAAGAGCGAAGAGAAGCTCGTAAAGCTCTCCAAGAATCTCTAGCTTATCCAGCTCAATCTGAAGAGGATCAAAAGAGAGAGGCAGAGAAGGAAGCAGAAAAGCAAGCCAAGTTTGAGCGCTCACTCACGCTACGTCGACCAGATCATAATCCAGTCGGTACCGCTCGTCTCAGATACTTGCTCTTGAGTGGCAGAGATCGAAACAGTCTTGAAGAGCAAGAATTTGCAACCCTTTGCGTGACACGGTATCCAGACGGTAGTCTTCGTGAAGAACCGAGATCAGAAGAATTTCAAGCTATAGAGCCCGAAATCTCTATTCCGCTTTCATCTCTTAATCGTCATCCAGACTATAATTCGGACATTACCACTTCTAATTTTTCAAACTCTGTTACTGTTAGACAACTGCAAGCTCCTGCTTCAATCAATCCTGTCAAGAAATCGCACACTCTCGTTGCATCTGATTCTGTTGGACACGATAGATTGCGCGTGGATAGACTTCAAAGTGATCGCAACATCTCCATCGGCTCTCCAGTTTCCAGAGGCGCCGGTATCTTTGGCTTCAATCCGCCTATCGACGCTCCTCAACAAGATTCGACGGCTCAAGCAACTCAGGTGGCATATCGTCCCCAGATACCTCAACCTAGAAGTTTTCAGAGAGAGCTCCAAACACCGTCTCCTTCGTCACAAGTCTATAGGGCTCAATCGCTTCTTTCTGAATTGAAGCCCCCGCAGAACTGGTCGCAAGACAATTCATCCGCCATCCAAGAACCTCTTACAGATTCGCGTCCCCGACAGATTTTCTCCTCTTCCCGTCAAATAACTCCTACACCACGCGATTTGCCAAAGAGAGTCGTAAGCAAAGCTTATATCCCACGTAACAGCTCCCAAATATCTGCAGATAGACAGGGAAACTCTTCCGCATCTCGTCTTCCAGTTCCAGAAACAAACGTTGAACCTGGAAGTGCAAGTATACCTCCTTCGCAGCTTTCTTTTTTAGACGTTAGCCTCGTAGCTTTAGGAGCCCATTTTGCCGAAATGGACAAGCTCCAAGTCAGAAACTCCGGACCAGTTTCGGTCAAGACAAAAGCTATCGAGGATGCACGGCTCATGCAAGCTTCAGTTATCGAAGCAGCAACTAAATCAGGAAAGGAACCACCGAAATATTTGTTGATGGAATTAATTGGAAAGGGAAGTTTTGGGCGTGTTTATAAAGGGTATGATATTTTTTCGTTCCTGGTTCTTGATCAATATGCTAATTCGGCAAATAGAAAGGACATGGTATCGGCTGCTATTGTGGCTGTGAAGATCATCGACATTGAGGAGAGCGATACGATCAACCCAAAGAATGCCAATTCTTATGCCGAATTCTTGAAAGAAATTACCGCTTTAAAGACTCTGAGTGAAAACAAAGCTCGGAATATCAATCACGTCATCGAAGCATTACCAGTTGGACAAGCCATGTGGATGATTACAGAATACTGCGGTGGAGGAAGTGTGGCCACGCTCATGAAACCTACCGCTCCCGGAGGCTTACAAGAAAAATGGATCATACCAATACTTCGCGAGGTCGCCGAGGCTATCAAATGGGTACATGAGGCTGGCATCATACATCGGGATATCAAGTGTGCCAATGTTCTTATTACTGAAGAAGGTGCAGTTCAACTTTGCGACTTTGGTGTTGCTGGAACCATGGAAACAAAAGTTGACAAGAGATCTACCGTTATTGGTACACCACATTGGATGGCGCCAGAGTTATTTGACGCTGTCCCTAGCTATGGGAAAGAAGTTGATATATGGGCTTTTGGTTGTATGGCTTATGAGATTGCCACTGGTCTTCCGCCTAATGCCATGAGTCGACTTCCATTTGATCGGCTTGGCTCTCTTATAAAACAGCATGCTCCACGACTTGAGGGGGGCGATTATTCTGACGAATTGAGAGACCTCGTTGCCTTCTGCTTGGAAGAATTCCCAAGTGAACGTCCTTCCATTGACCGAGTTCAGAATCATCATTATATTCTCAACACTAGTTCAAAATATCCAATGTCCTCACTTTCTCATCTCGTCAGGGCATTCAAGTTGTGGGAAGATCACGGGGGAAGCAGAAAATCTCTATTTATGTTAGGCGGAGCGCAAGCACCCTCAGAGTTTGCCTCGACAGCATTGTCCGATGATGAGTGGAACTTTAGCACAACTGCCGCATTTGAACAAGAAGTTAGACGCAAATCAACTGCTCAAGATGTTTACGACGTGTATGGCTCAGGTGTTGAATTTGATGCTGGCTTCCCTCAAGAGACTGCCCGTCCGCCACCTCAAAAAGGGCGACGCCGTCCTCCACCAGAGGCCTTAGCACCATCTCGAGGTCCCTTAGAGAAGATCTTTGATCCGAACACACTAACAAGCTATGAGGATAACGTTCGCAATCATTATGGCCGGCCGTATCTTCCACCAACCTCCGACTTACCACCTGTTCCATCTCGTTCCGATTTACCTTTACGTGATGACACAACGCAAACATCTATCAGGGATACTATGATTGATCTTGGAGGGCATGATGCCGAAACAGGTATATCTGTATTCCCGGATATGGATACTATCAAAGCTGGAAGACGTGTACGAGATGAACCCGATGAAGATTATATGACCACATTGCCCGATTTCAGTCGACCAGCACTTAGTGATCCAGCTGATATAAATCCAAATCGACGTACGCGAGAATGGAAATTTCCAGCAATGGTACCGCCTGCGTCAGCAGATCCAGAAGTATCTAGATTTCCCCCTTCAACTTATGAAGTTCCAAAACCAGCAATCACTCCAGGCATCGGTGGTCGTCCTAGTTTGGTTCATCATCCAACCGAGCCTCTAGGTGGATTCAGTGGTGGACTTCCACCTGCGGACGTCAACATTGGAATGCCTCGTTTGTCCTTCCGAGAATCTCTCATCGATCTAGATATGAGCATGCCGGATCCAGTACCAGCTTTTAATCCCGACTTTGGTCGACCATCAACAGCAGGTTCTGATGCTATTTCTATTATAAGCAATCCTGGACAAGCCTCATCGTCTTCTACAGTCAATCCGTTCGAACTCGAAGATCAAGCTTTACTTTATCAACGTACCTCTCATTCCCGTGAACCCTCTCTTTATACCTTTTCTCACTCCCGTGAACCCTCTTTATTTGTACCTTCCCACGAGCGCGAGCCTTCTCTTTACGCCACCTCTCATGAGCGTGAGCCTTCTATCTATGTTACAGAAGACATGGGTGCATTCTCAACTTCTGCTACGCCTCCTCGTCCCGAAAGTACATCACGTTCACTTCGTGCAGATCCTCCACCTCGTCTTCGTACTAGTAATGCTCTTCGCGACATTGCCGACATATCAGACTTTTCGGACTCAGCTGCTGAGAGTACTATGGGTTACAATACGGATGCCAATGATACAGACTCAGACTACGCAACCGCCTCGACTCAACCGCCTCCAACTTCTGCTCCTTCGCGCGACCCAAATGCTCCATATACCATGGCACATTTTCCAAATCTACCCAATGCTCCTTCGGTTCGTGCTTTGACAGGCGAAGCAGCACATGAAGAAATGGCTTTCGAAATGTCAAGAATGTTGCGTGGTTTGACTGGACAACTCGAAGCTTTTCGCGATGTTTATGGTTCTGAAGATCTGGCTCGGAGGTCTAACCAGAGACGTGAACGAAGAGATAATGGGGAGAATGGTGTTTAGGTTTCCGTTCTATTTCGCAGAATATCAGGAAATGTTTGTATAATATGTAGGACGGGCATACCCTCCAAGTCTTTATTGCATAGTATGAAGAATCGGCATGTCTCTCGTAGGCTGATGCTGAGCTACTTTGTTTTTTGTCATTTTGTTATTTTCATTTTCTGTTCACTAAGGGGCGCACTCATCAACTGTTACTAGGAGGATTTGAGTTTTCATGACACGACAAGGATTAAAAAGACACCGAGATGCATTCGATGCATTTCATGATTTGACACATTATCATATGATATTATAACTTAATCATGGTGTGAATACTCAAAATTGGTGCTGGACAGGAGAAAAATTCTGATGGACTACTTTCTTGAAGAAAAAAACTCAAGAAATGGAGGATAAGGATAGATAGTTACCAAAATAAAACGTAACATTGAGAAAAAAATGCTACCATTATAATTGTGACGCGAATTCTGATTTAGAGCCCTTAGACTAAAGATTTAGTAAAGTGGTCGTTAATTGAACACAATGCGAGTTGTTCGTATTCTCCGATTCTATGTCTGCAATCATATCCAACCCAGCTTCGCCGTAATACTAGACTTTAGCGTCTTCCGGGTCGGCATCTATAATATCTTCGACTATATTTGAAAACGCAATCCATCAACTCCATGCATCATCCACGCACTATTAAGTCTGAATTTCTCTCCCTGCCCCTCGCTCCCATCTCATCCCCCTCTCCCTCATTCTTTCTCTCGTGTCTGTTCTGCTCCCCCAATTTCCATTATCCACCCTCTCGTTCTGCAGATAGGCACCTAGCTCACTCATCATTCCAGGCAATCTACTCTGACCCAATACTCTTCCACGATATCCGAAACCGTTTGAATTTTCTCCTGTTGTACCCTTCCAGGATTGCGAGATGTGGAGTTTTTGATTCTGGGGGTTCAGATTGGAGTAAGAGGAAAACAAATAGGAAGAAGAATATTGAGAAAAATGCGAATGGGTAAAAGAATGAAAAATATTGTGTGGCCCGGTGTCTGGAATTGTTGACACATCAATATCTCCAATAGGCTTAGGGATCCAAGCCATCGGAATCCATTCTCCATCTCCGGGTGCGAAGTTCTGTCGTCGCTCGCTCCATAGATTTTCGGGATGCTCGATTGCTTTCTTATCGTCTATTGCTTCGGTCTCGATTCCATCCGCCCATTCTGTACTCTTGATGTCTTCGACTCCACAAATTCGTATTATTTTCCATGTGTTTGGAACTTTCGGAGATGAAGGATAGTAAGAGGTTGGAGATAATGGGAAATGTGGAGGAAAACCAGGCAAAGGAGGAGGTGGGGTGTGGAATCTTGAGGAGAATGCGGACAGGTATGGAGGGTATGGTGCAGAGTATATTGATGGAATCGATGGAAGCAGCTTTGACTCAGACCTCTCTATTACTTCACTCCTCTCGTCCTCTTGCATCAAAAAACTCATAACCACAAGCACGCCCTTCCCAGCAGGTACAGTATCATGAAGATCTGGGTCTTCGCAGAAAGGACACCGAAACGGGAGTTTGAGATGTAATTCCTGGAGGGAAAACAGGGATCGCCTGTGAGCTGTGAGAGGTAAATATATAAGTGGATTTGATAAGATGGGGCCGTGGGCTATGTGGTGACAGCTGTGTGTATATGTGTGTTGAATATCCATGATTGGGCTTTGGAGTAATGATGTTGGTTTGGGGGTGTATTTGTTATGATGGACCTGCGAGTAATCAGGGGGTTTCTTGTGATTATATGATGTTAGAGACTGCGAAAATGACTTGTTAAGAGCTCTGACGTCTGTTGGTAGAATTTATTTTGGGAGTTAGAGTTGATAGGTTGTACTTATTTGCTCCCGATATATATACAACTAGATACTTACTCGAACTCCCAATAAACGGTGATTATCAGCAGTATTTATTTAGAACGTGTAGATGATGAATTTAATTTGACTGAATGATTCACGGGTCAAAAGAAAGAGGACATTCACCGCGCATTTTTTGAATGCCGCAGATCTAGTGGTGGGAAATCTAGAAAATCTGAGGTGATTGCAAGTATTTTCAGTTGTGAGGCGCAATCAAGAATTAGCTTTGAGAACCAACCTGAAGATCGTAGTCATCGAACCCGTAAGCCTCTCTGAGCTTTAGTGGCTTGATAACAGAGGTGAGAGGAGAAAACACCAACGGGTCGACTTTACACCGGAGATTTCCTGAACATGATGGTAAAGGACATGTGACTTGGTCAAAATGAATGCTGGTGGATCAATCGTATATATTTCGCGAAAAAATGTGGTAGATTATAGCAGCTAGAAGCAATGCAGGTAGTATCAGCTAAGGAACCGCAGGGGTACGAGATATGTAACACATTTCATTTATCACTTAGTTTCGCCTTTGGTCTGGCATTAAGAAGTTGCCATTGCGTGGGTGCTAAGATCAACCAAGGACATACCAGCATTGCCAACAACTTACCAGGGGCTTGCGATGTGCAACAAATATCAATAAAGTTTGCGCCAAGAAGAAACCAACACTAAATCCGGTCAATTAATAAAGACTTTCCAATTGGAAGAACCGGATAGAATCAAAGGTTTTTGCAATTTGTGATAAAAATGATGCAGTCTATACTGAAAAGTGTTAAAATCATTGATCCAACATCTATACAGAGTGCGCCAACTTGACATGAATCCATCATCTAGCACGCAATATGAACTGCTATTGATCATAATCTAAGATCAATATATGGAAGTATAGATTGTTTTTGGAAGAAATGTAGTTCTCACATATGAAGTGTAGTAAGCAAACAATGAGTCGCGATGATGCATGCACTAGAGCTGCTCTGCCTCTCTTGGCACTGTACAAACCTTCGGCTAATAATCGCCCCTTTCTTTCTCCCCATACAACACATAACTTATCATTACAAGCAAAGGAACTACCTCCGAAAACAAAAACACAACGCGGTTTGTCAGTAGATTCAATCAATGAGATCTCGCTTATTCATGCATGATCAAAAGATCGAATTTTGAAATTTCACGGGCTTTTGTGAATTGATCAGCACTCGATACATGGGCTGAGAGAGGATTTTCGAAGTTCGAGAAACTTGTATATATTCTGAAATCTCAAAGTTCGGCTGAAAATGTAAGATTCTCTTTTACATGGGATGAGATACATGAGGCGAGTCAAAAGCAAAACATGTTGGGCTGCCATGGAATGAATTATTCGACATGTTCGGCTTCATCGGGACATCACAGTTGGTATCATTACAGAGTCCAATACTTTGCATTACACACTTCTACTGGATCTGCCGTATGCCGATGCATAATCACTTCTGATGTATCGTCCCGATCAGGCATGCTGACGCAGGGTCTCTATAAAGATCTGCTAGGCTAGATACGATGATCTAAAGACCGTGAGCCTTTATCGCTAAACGAAATAGTATCAATGAAAAATCATCCTTTGAAGATTCGAAAGATACAAATTTGTAGTTCTACATATCTCTGCTTCTACCCATTTCTCGCACATGATCATACTGTTAGCATGAAATAATTTTCCTCCACCAATAAGTACTCGAACCCTTGAACGCTCAAATTTATAATTCATTTGATTCCCATTTCCTTACTGCAGTGAATCTATTCACAGACTTCCTGCAACTTCAAGTGCAGTTCAAAGCACCGATATCGGATTCAAGCTTCTTACTATCGTGATCATCTGTGCAGTGTGCACATTCTTGTGGTCTCAAGGAAATGATGACTTCTCTTAGAATTCACTACAACTAGATCAGAAGTTTGAAGGAAATGGTAACCAACATCAAAAGCCATCAATCCTTTCCTATTGGTCTCAGAACAAAGCATACCGGCAGATGACATTAGAATAATGTTGCAGGATATAGAGGGAAGTGAATATCAGTGATGACATGCCCCAAAAGAGTATTCATCCGCGGGTCTACTAGTTTTTTCTGAAGTATTCTTGTGTATCTTCAATTATTCAATAGCTTTAATCACGCAATCAACATTCAGTGAATGCGTTTTCATATTCAGTTATGATAACTTACTAAGTTTTCACGCTGAGAAGAACGCGGATGACGCGGATCTAGTCTAGTGACAGGTAAATACCCAATGGAGAAGTCGATCAGTCAATTATTTAATTACGGGAGTCATGCTTTCGACAAAAACCCAGTATCCAGCAGAACTGATCACACATTACAGACCAATTAACGCATCTTCATGGAGGAAAAACATTTTGTTGAAATGTCAAACTGGATCAGTTCTACTGTCATCGCCACAAAATAATACCAAGATTTGTCCACAGTTTTATCTCCATTCTCTGCTGCATTGCGTTGTAGAAAGGAAGACATTGGCTAACGCTTATCACTATCACTTGGGATGGGGAAGTACGGTAACAATCTCGCGGCTCTTGTAGTCTTGGTGTTGGTCTCTGTAAAAGACATGCTGCCTTAATTTTATTTTCACAGAATTTAGGATGGACTTTGCTGGCAGATAGCAAAGTTACACATTTCGTTATTTTAGTCTGTCTCGTGTCCGCCCTGGAAAGTGGTCTATTGAGCTTGAGTGTATCAACTCTAGCTTCTGAATACTCGACTATCATTAGCTTCTCATCGTTGAAATAAGGCATGCCGCTCATGTTGATCAGTGTGAACTTCGGATGAAGAGCTATTGCTTATTGTCGTAACTCATGATCTAGATAGAACGTCTTCTTCAATATGATGAGCGGTTGCGACAAGCCCGGGGGCCGGGATCACATTGTTTTATTGTATGAATACTGCCATTGTGCACCTCGAAAGGATCAAGGAGCTGCGAGAATGAGTTTGGACGAGGGTAGAAGCCTCCAAAGAGATTACTGTACACATCCCGTATGGAAATGCACATTTCAGATATCCTTTCTGGGAATTAAATGTCAGAAAATCCTGAGTCCTTATCCAGAATGGAAATATTCTCACTTCACATCTCTCTGGCTCTTTCAATTCATTTCTAGCTCAATAATCCCCGGGCTTTGATATTCTCCGTTACGCTGTGCAGATTGCGGTATTCAATGAATTCGAAAGCTTCATTCGATATTTTAAATTGCAAAAAAAATCTAGTTACAAACGAAATCTCTGAGACTATCTCTTACCTCCCAACTTAATCATATACATGCCTGATACTCTCTGCACCCCTGAAGTTCACATATTCATGAATAGGATTCTACATCACCATAATTAAGAAGATGCATGATCTGAAATAAGTATCAAACATCACTCCACCTTGATTGAAAAGAAACGGTATTCAACTATAAACACGGATATTTCGAAAAGAAGATGGGCCCTACTACAGTTACAAACTTTCATAAAGGAGCAAGATAAGCTGCGACGCTACACTCTCAAATACACGACGAATGATATTTTCGAAGCTTGAAATTTTCATCAAGGATTGGAAGAAATTTACAATGACATGAAGATCAGAATGCTCATCGAAGGCAGTGAACATCGTCAGGAAAAGTAGAATGTACTGTGAACACAACACCGAAATGGTACTTCCCTCATTCACCACTCTCACGACCTTTCTAGGTTGAAGCTATTCACTTTACATAGTATAGATTATTCGGAAAGAAGACGCAGTCTCGAAGGTTAAGATTTTTAGGGCTAGGTGTAAATTGGGACAATTTTCGAGATTGACTCAAGGTTACAGGTGTCGAAAAACATAATCTGTTTTCCAGGTAGGCTGCGCAGCGGGTACCTGCAAAACAGATCATTGGCCTCATTATCTGTTTGCAGAACATATTTTTTGAAAATTTCATCTAGTTAATTTGCAGACAATCTGCGAACACTTTGTCTCTGCAAATCAAGAGATGATTCAGAGTTTAATATACTTTTTGAAGCTAGTCCTAGATTATGAATGATTAAAGCTTCGATATTATAAGACTATATGAATACTGTACAATATTAATACAAGTAGATTATTTGAAAGGCTTTGTAGATAGTCTACAGAACAGGTAGTATCTTGAATAGACTACCTACAGATACAGAAAAATTTTATGTAGCGTATTTCCAAGACAGAGATCTCCTTGCTCAACATGGGTATTCCTGCGCGGCACAACAATAGATTGAGGGCAGTCGAAGTGAGATTTGCAGTAAGATAATACGTTGAATACCGGTAAATTGGTGAATCAAGTAAAGTTCAGAAAGCGGTAGGTTAAGTGAATGGGACTAGCTTCTCTTTCCAACATCAATTGCAGTCACTTTTCCATGTTAACTTTGAACATTGCGGTTTTTACAACTCCCCTTCTCATTTATATACATCGAGATATTAATCTCTTGCAGAGTTGATACAAATCAGTGACAGACTTGAACATTTAGGTGATAGTGAATTTGATCACATTATTAGATGTCCAAGGCATATACAGGAAGACCTCAGACCCTGTGGTGGGAGAATCCTTGGTTAACGAAGTGATCGCT